GGCAATTGGTAGGGCTAGAGGATTAAATATAGACAGATGAAGGGAACAAACGGATGTACAACACACGGCTGCAGAGAGCAACTGTTATAAACAAATGGCGAAGAGAATTGAGATAGGAATGTTACTTCACACCTCCTTATTGCTCTGTGTCCGCCCATTATTTGTGGTTCGACCGGTCAAATTTGACCGGTCCCTGTTTTAACTGCTATTAACATTAACACAAAAAACCATTATCATCACCAAATTTCATTTAACACCCTTTAAAACTGTAAAATATTATACAGACTACTGGGTAGAGCGGTGGGAAACTGTGTCAAAATTGTCTGTGTGTGTTTGTATGTGGCCAGGTGGTTGATTCACATGGGGATTGGGCAATAGGGTTGGACATACATCTGTGCTGTCCTGTGTCTGTCTGGTGTCGTCTCCTTCTCTACTGCGCGTCATTTTTGACCGGCGACACATGGCTGTTACAAGTCTTGGACTCAAAATTCCCTCAGAAATTCCAACGAAAGTGGTGATCAGCAATGTATATTTTACATGTCTACTGTGCAAGGAATATCATTAAAGCCTTAATGAAATCGAATGTAAAACAAAAAAGTTATGATTGATGAAAGTAGTACATCGGTCAGACTTGACCCGAAGACAACAGGAGGGTAAAGACTCAGAGTAAAAGAAAAGCTGCTTTAAATAGTTTTTGTAGGAATATTAAAAGGTTAGTTGGAGATCTTAAAAACTGAAATGAGTCAATCATGGACACCAGTTAACAAAATGACAACCTAGATAATCATATAAAGTATACATTTACCAATAATTATGTTTCCCCTCCTCCAGAGGACACGAAGCAGGACGAGTTTGTGAAGGAGGTCCAGGCGCTGAAGAGCCTGCACCACCCGAAGCTGATCCAGCTGCTGGCCATGTGCTCCAGAGGAGAGCCCGTCTACATCGTGACCGAGCTCATGAACAAGGGGAGCCTCAAGTCCTACCTCGCCTGTAAGTCGCACAAACAAACAAACAGACAGATAAATATCCAGTGCTGAAAGAAGTCATCCAATCTGTTACTTAAAGGCCCAGATACACCGGCCAGTCACCTGAGAAGACACCGACTGTTGCGTCGCCGGACTCTCCTGCGTATTTGCCGACTTCGCGCACTGGAACACACCGCAAATCCGAGCCGAGCACGTATGAACTGCGCGTATGCGTGAGTGGCAATAACTCTCCTTACCAGCAGGCGGCGGTAGTGTGTATTCATCATTCAAAAGAGGCAACAACCGGAACAACCAGAAGACAGAAGAAGAACAGACTCCGTGATATAAACAAACAACAAATAGCGTTTTTCTTTCCATTTTCACTCTCGTCCATTGAAAACCTGAACGAACAGGAGCTCTATAAACCGATGAGGTGAAATAGCCGTCCGTGTGTGTTCCATCTTCCATTTTAAATCATTTGTTTACCTCCCTCACTTCCGTTAACGCTTCTCATGCACTGATTCGCTAGCTGAACAGCCAATCAGTGTTATCCCTTTGTCCGACTTCTGGTGGTGTAAGGAAAAGTAGTCATACCACAGTGTAGAATATACTGTAGAATGGAAAGGTCATGTGTTCAAAATATGTCAAAGTATTGGGATCAAAATGTACTTAAAATACCAAAAGAATAAAGCCCTTATTTAAGAATATATATATGTATTATATAATCGAGGATACTTATGAATTGCTTCAATGTTGCAGCTGTTGCAAGACAAGTCATTTAGATACTGCTTAGTAAGTACATCTAAAATAATACAAATGTTTTGAAATGATTGGTAATGGTTCATAATTCCTTAGTTAATTTGT